CCCCCCCCCCAAGGCACTTTCAGCAGTTTTTAAAATGATCTCTTTTCCGTTCTAAGCTTTTTTTCCCCCTCCTTCCTCCTCCAAGAAATGGAAATGGTAAGAAAAAGAACACCCCCGCATACAATGTCAACAAATTGCTTGGAAGGCTGGCTTTGAATTGAGTTACACAAGTTTCTTCTCACTGGTAGCGTCCCACCCTGGTTCTCTGCAGTAAAGACAGCCCTCAACAGACTAGGAAAGGCTAAAGGATCCAGCCAACCCATATGGGGTGGCATGCATACACTCCTACGAACGAATATAATCTAAGAGGACACAAGAGGAAGTGGGCATCTTCTTCATGGGGGGGGGTTTGCTCTACACCAGCCCATTTGCATCCTCCATTATCACCCTGGAGGCTGCAGTCCTCAAGAGGAAGGGCAAACTTTTGTGAAGAAGTTCCAAGAAAACATTTGCACACATGAAAAGAGTTACAGAGGCGGACCAGACGTACTTTGCTCAACACAAATGGCTGGGCAAGTTGCTTTTTCAAACTCGTTGGAAGCTTTTTTTAAAGCTGGACATTGTACGTTGCAAGCGTGAATAGCTGAGGGCACGTGGGCCACCAGTGAGGTACAGAACTGGCACGGAGGGGAGGCCGAGAGTTCATAACAAGAATTCACTATTTCTCCGTCCCCAAATCCAGCTGCAGCTGGTCAGACACAGCTTCCTACCAACATGACCAGCCACAAATTATGTATTTTGGGACCTTCTGGTGGGCTGACAGTAATTTTGGATACTTGATGTTTCTCTCCCTAGCACCGACGTGGGCCACTTCTATAACAGGGGTTACCCGTTTGGCTTCTGCCCCTCTCCTCATTTACTAGTGAATAAAAAATAGTGCAACAAAACATCAGAAAGCGTATACATGTCCTTCTCAGTCAAAAGGAGTCTCATTCAGGGGTGGCGGGACCCAAAATTTTTGATCAAAGCTGGAACTAGTCATTTCGGCACCCGGGGCCAAAGTGACACCCTCTCAAACCCACGCCACCCTAGTGTGAGTCTCCTCCCTCCAGGAAAAAGGAGGAGGAGGAGGAGAATGTGTCACACCCACCCCACCCCAGAAACAAGGAGAATGGTTGATGGTTTCAAACAAGGGAAGTCAATCGGGCTGGGGGGCATGTTCAGCAGGAGATCCAACTCTAGATGATGGATTCTCTGGAAAAGACAATAAGGTTAGGAAAAGTTGAAGGCAGCAGGAAAAGAGGAAGATCAAATACGAGATGGACCAGCTACCTAAAGGAAACCATAGGCTTGAATTTGTAAGAGCTGAGCAGGGCAGTTGAGGACAGGATATTTTGGAGGTTGGTCATTGATAGGGTCGCCATGAGTCGGAGGAGACTTCAAGGCACATAACGATCACAAAGATTTCAGTGCCATGGACAAAGCTTTGGTAACTTTCCCCTCATCAACAACGGCCCTGCCTTTGACAGAAGGATTGGTGAAACACTGGCTGGAAAAGGTTGCGGACCGCATGCATCACGTATTTTATGTGCATAGTTTTAGACCCACAACCTCTACTAGGGCTTGATCACGTCTTGACCATTCACACAGCCTGGGGTCAAGCCGTTATGCCCGGTCTCCATCTGCTATCCAAAGTCAGTTCCTCAGTGTAACAGGAACTGAAAAATCAGTGCATCGAACCAGGGTCGGACTCTCTTCCCTGCTCCATCATTTTGGGACCCATCCTCGCCTCATCCCAGTCAAGGGCTTGAAGGTTCTTGAGTGGTGGGGCAGGTGGCCACCACTCACAAGAACTAGCGGGTCAGGAAAAAAGGGGTGTCGGGAAGATTATTTAAAGAGGGCTTTTCTTGCCTTCTCAACCCTGACTCTCGTTGGCTCTCGGGAACTCTGGAGTGCTCTGGCCCATCAGCTGATGCTTTCAGAGTTCCTACAAAGGGTCTCTGAGGAAGCAAGAATGAGAAGAAGACAGCCTTTCCTGTCCCTGCCACCATCACTAGCCTTTTAAGAATAGGAGCTGAAGGCTACAATCATCCTCTTCTTGCCAGTATTCCAGGGCCCCCTTTGAGGACGGCAAACCACAGCCCGAGGTCACCACAGAAGGGTGCTACAATAATTAAGCCACTATTTGCTTTTCTGCTGGGAATGTGCAGCAAAACAACACAGGCAACCCTTGTTTCATAAGACACTGGCCTAGCAAGACAGTAGAAAGTGTGTTATATATTTCGGTGAAGTCATAAAGCAGAAGCGCCCTCTGCTCAGGGAGCACTTCTCCTATAGAGAGTCACCAGATCCTTTGCTACTCCTTTCCGTCGCTCTGCAGGTTCCTTTTTCAGTTCTCCAAAATCTCTAACCTCTTTCAAGACCTGCGTAGCTTGCCGGAGCTGTTCCGCCGCCTCGTTGAGCAGCATCTCTGCGCTTACCGGAGGTCCGTTGCCTTCCCGGCCCTCCTCAAGTCCCCCCTGGAGAACTTTCTGCAGAAGTTTTTCTGTTCTTTCCTGTTCGCAAGCCACTTTGTGCTCCATCCGGGCCACGCGGAGGGCAGGTCCCTGCCAGAGATCATGCCCCGGGAGGGAGTCCTTGGTGGGTCCAGACAGTAGGTCTCCCACGGAGGAACAGCGAGGCTTGGTAGCTGGAGAATTTCTCACCAGCATTGACCCAGGTGGCTGGTCTTTAGAAGGCAGGACGTTCACCGTTGCTCCGTGCTCTGGGCAACCCCTCTGCTCCCCTTGAAGGGCCTCCTCTCCATCTTGGAAGACGGGCTCGGCCACTCCATTGCCAGCAAAGCCATTCATGGGGGCTTTTGGCTCCTGGTGTTGGCTGTTGCCTTCGCCAACATCTTTGTCCAAACTGCTCCGCTGGGAGGCCATGCTGGCTTTCAGCCTCTCTGATATAATCTTCGGAGGCGGCGTTGGAGGTTTTACTATCTCCTGAAGGTCTTCTTTGCTGCCGGCTGTTGACGGGTCTGTGGGAACCGCCTCCGGCTCTTCGGAAGCGGGACTGTCCCATGTTACCTTCACCTTATCAGGCAATATTTTAGGTGGAGGGACTGGAGCAGAGTGGTTGGCTTCCTCTAGGGACTCTCCATCCAATTCAACTTTGGGTTCTTCACCCTCATCATCTATAACAGCATCATCTTTCTCCTTCCTCTGCTGCTGTTCCTCCTCCATCATCCTCACAGAGTCCGTATTTTCACTGGCGGCAGCTCCTTCCTTAGGAGGCTTAGCTGGAAGTGCCGGAGGCCTCTTGGCCTCCATTTTGGACGCGACGTCCTCCTCCCCAGGAACAGCAGCGCCATCTCCATTTTCTTGCTCCTCCTTCACAGAGTTCATCGTTTCCCCTGGTGCCCCTGCATCTTTCGGTGGCTTTGCCGGCGGTACAGGAGGTTTCTTGACTTCCTGATCTTCTGGAGCGGAATCCGTTCTCGGCTCCTCTGTAGGAGGCATAAGTGGTTTTATAGGTGGCATAGGCGGTTTCGGGGTCTCCTTGGGAAGAGGGACATCAGCAGCATCACTCACAACCACGGTGATGTTTGGAGGGCTACTGTCTGGCACATCCAGATCCAGTCTCAGAATACCATCTGACATAGCACTGGCAACCTAGAGAACGAGAAACAGACAACAAGATTTTGCCACTAGTCCTCGGCATCAGGCCATCTTGCTTTCAAAAAACGACTTACATCTATACCAGTGGTTCTTAACCTTGGGTTACTCAGGTGTTTTTGAACTGCAACTCCCAGAAACCCCAGCCAGGACAGCTGATGGTGAAGGCTTCTGGGAGTTGCAGTCCAAAAACACCTACGTAACCCAAGGTTAAGAACCACTGATCTATGCCACCATTTTTATTCCTTCCTGACTGCCACTGATTTTTCTTAGCACATTTTCTATCACACAGCAGGTCGATACACTGCCGCAGCAGCCCCGGCTGGCTTTACTCTTAGGCAGAGTGAGGCAGCCACCTTGGGTAGCAAAAAGCTGGAAGACGGGATTCCCGTTCCATGGGGGCTGTGAATCCACTCAGGGTTTTAGTCCTTCCTTTACAGGAGCAGCTGAAGCCAAACCCCCAAAAACATTAACGGTTACCTCTTTGAGATGGCTTCTGGTCGGAGGACGGCGACCCTGAGCCACTTTTGCTCTCCTTCGCGTCACATGTTCCAGAGAAAGGCTTTCATCAACTTTTACCTTTAAAAAAAAAAAAGGAAAGAAAGACAGACTTCAGGTTTTTTGGCTTGAGAATTGATGAAGACAAGGCTAACGAAGCGGGGGGGCAGCTTTTTCAACCTGCAAACCTTTCAAAAGCAGAGGATGGGGGACTCCTTCAGACATCTGTTTTAAAAGTAACTTAAACCAACTGATTCCATTCTTTTTTCCAAGAGAAAAATGAAAATATTTACTTTCAGATTTTTAAAAAATTTTTTGAAAACAATTGGCGTGAAGCTACCCCTGTTTCAGAATAACCACGGTGCCAAATCATCTTTCAGTATGAATCGGTGTCCCATATGATCCCCAGTGAGGGGGGAAAATGCTCTGTGAGTCTCTTCCCATAGTCTTTCTCAGTTCCCTTTCATACGCTCGTCTTCTTAAAAGATCCAGGCCCTCAGCATTACAGGCTTTAGAAATCTGTTCACCTAGGAGACAATCTCTTTCGGTTGCTGTCAGAAAAGGGCAGACGGGAGTTCATTAGCACAGAAAACGGCCCAAGGAAAACTGTGTCCAGACTGTAAAATGGGTCAGGTTGAGGCACCCATAATTACCCTTTGCCATCTCAAGCCACGGGTCCCGAGGCACAGCCAAAGACTGCCAACATCGTCCAACACAATATCACATCTCCGGTTTCCTCTTGCGGAACAGAAGCCGCACACAACTCTGAATACAACACAACTCTGAATTCGTCCTCATTCCTCCTCCATTTTCTAAGGCAACTGTAATTAGTCGGTCACTCCAAGCAGCCCTATTGTACCATCCAGCCTGGGATGTATAAGGTTTCGTTTAATCGGCAACGATGGTGCCACCCCTGAAAAACTGGCACAATGGAAAACTCAGTTCTCCTCAGAGGAGGAAACGTCCCGCCCTCCTGCTCCTGCATCTTGTGTTGAGAAACGGAGGGGCACCCAGTCCTTGTTAGTATGATGAAATGGTTCTTTTTTTTTCCTCTCAGAAGAAAGATATAGATCCATACTGCTAATGAGGATCTTATTTTGGCTTGGATAATGAGAGGGGGGACGGAGAGAGGGAAAAACTAAAGCAAATTCAAAGTTCAGCCAGAGTTTACATTTCTTGGCCAAAACCATCTTACGAAGGTTGACCTAAACAATTTTTCTATTCCAGTCAAAGTAAATCTTTCCTGCACTCGATACCCCCAAGGGTAAAGGTAAAGGTTCCCCTTGACGTTTCTATTCCAATCAAAGTAAATCTTTCCTGCACTTGATACCCCCAAGAGTAAAGGTAAAGGTTCCCCTTGACATTTAGTCCAGTCGTGTCTGACTCTTGGGCGCGGTGCTCATCCCCGTTTCCAAGCCGCAGTGCTAGTGTTTGTCCGCAGACAATTCCCCGTGGTCACGTGGCCAGTGCGACTAGACTAGCGTTTTGTCCGCAGACAATCCCCCGTGGTCACGTGGCCAGTGTGACTAGACACAGAACGCCATGACCTTCCCACCAAGGTGGTACCTATTTATCTACTCGCATTTTTACATGCTTTCAAACTGGTAGGTTGGCAGGAGCTGGGACAAGTGACAGGGGCTCCCTCCGTCGCGTGGATTCGATCTTACGACGGCAGGTCTTCTGACCTTGCAGCACAGAGGCTTCTGCGGTTCAACCTGCAGCGCCACCCCCAACCCCAAACCTGGAGCTAATAATTATACTGATAACACAACACCAGAAAATTCACTAGCCTGCATTATGAAGCCACTGGCATACAGGGACAATGTATGGAGAAGCACTGAGGGTGGCCATAAATTGGGTTTCACAGTCTGGAACACAACCACCCAACTTCACCCTGGTCAAGACCGGCCAACAGTCAAAAGACTGCAGAGGTCTGTCCATTTTAGCCCTGTGATTCAACAACAACAACAACAACAAGAACAACAGAGGCCTTGCAAAATCCATTTAGCCTGCATCAACCACCCTGCAAAGGCTTTGACACCCCAAGTCTCCCTGACGTGGCCACATCTCTGTTCTAGTGAAATACCCAGAATTCTTTGTAGTGTGTCAAGAGTTCTGAGGTAGGAGCAGAGGTTTTTTTGCCCTTTTAAGATGAAAAAAATGTCCCCTGAAGGTTGGAGGGGAGGAACTGCTTCCAGAACAAGAGTTTTACAGGCTTTGCAGTGTATCTCACACTCACTTCCTTTTTAACAGCCACACTTTCCTCAGGACCATGACACATTTTGTTCTCATTCCCACACTTTACTTCCTTTGCAAGTGAGGCCGGCCCTACCATTAAGCAGGTAGAGAAAACTGCCCCAGACAGCAGGTTTTGCATGTCGCAAAAGGAGACCTAATTGTTTATGACAGTTAAGGTAAAGGTAAAGGTTCCCCTTGACAATTTTTGTCCAGTCGTGTCCGACTCTAGGGGGCGGTGCTCATCCCTGTTTCCAAGCCATAGAGCCAGCGTTTTTGTCCGAAGACAATCTTCCGTGGTCACATGGCCAGTGCGACTTAGACACGGAACACTGTTACCTTCCCACCGAGGTGGTCCCTATTTGTCTACTTGCATTTGCATGCTTTCGAACCGCTAGGTTGGCGGGAGCTGGGACAAGCGACGGGAGCTGCACTCCATCGCGTGGATTCGATCTTACGACTGCTTGGTCTTCTGACCCTGCAGCACAGGCTTCTGTGGTTTAGCCCGCAGCGCCACCAGTTAAAAGGTCATTAATTGTCATTTATGTTGTTATTATTGTGCTTCTTCTTCTTCTCTTTTAATTTGCAGGGAGGAGAAGCGGTGCTGACATCATTTTTTTGGACTCATGTCAAAGACCAAGCCTCTGGACTTAGGTGAACATGATGCATCCCTTTGTTCTTGCGCCTCAGGTGGGGAAATGTCTTGGGCTGATCCCATCTGGCAGGCTTTTCCCTCTCCTTCCTTTCCCACTTTCCTCAAATCTCTAATAGACAGCTGGAAGACCTTCCCTCATTACGGCCTCAGCTGTACCAGTTCTTTCCAAGTCTCTAGAGCAGTGGTCTCCAACCTTGGGCCTCCAGATGTTCATCTGGCAGGCTTTTCCCTCTGCTTCCTTTCCTACTTTCCTCAAATCTATAATAGACAGCTGGAAGACCCTCCCTCATTACGGCCTCAGCTGTACCAATTCTTTCTGAGTCTCTAGAGGAGAGGTCCTCAACCTTGGGCCTCCAGATGTTCTTGGACTTCAACCCCCAGAAATCCTGGCCAGCAGAGGTGGTGGTGAAGGCTTCTGGGAGTTGCAAGAACATCTGGAGGCTCAAGGTTGGCGGAATCACTGCTCTGGAGCCTGTCAGATCTTGTTCTAGCTCTCCTTAGCACCATGTGGACACGCTATGCTGAGGGCTCGAATGCTGCATCAGGATTGGAAGGAAGGAGGTGCCGTGTCAACAGGCTCATCTCAGGATAAATACGGAGGAACCCAACGCCAGCGTTCCTCCAACCTCAGGAACTGAGCGACATTTCCCGTCACTCCCAAACCATCCCATTTGTAATCCAATCCATCTCCAGACGCACCACGTTGCCGAAACCTGCTCTCAGCTCACGACTGCTAATAACCTGAAACACACATTTTACCTCATCCAATATTCTGTTCTTGCCTCGGTTAATGCCTTCATTGAGTGCCTTCATCCAGGACTCTTTTTCTTCCCCACTTGATGCCTGGAATTTGATATCTTGCACCTGAAGGAGAGGAGAGAGGTCAAGCTTTTACTGAAAGGCTGCATTTCAGATTCAGGATTCACCATCTTTTTTTCCCATTAAAAAAACAAAGATGGGTGCCCGGAGGCACCTAGTAAGGATCCAATGTCTGAATGGGTTTGCCTTGAGGAACCAAAGGACTGTCCAGAACTCTACTGCCGTTTGCTTAAGTTTTCCATAACTTGCCATGCCCAATCGTGGCTAACCAAAACAAATCACATTTTGGTTGCGTACTTGGTTGTGGGACCAGATCCGCAGCTGAGCTATACCCCAGTTATCCTGTCAATGGGTTGCCATCAGCCACAACCAAGCATGAACACCAGTCGGAGTTCAGGAATTCATGTCCTGGTGGGCTGGGAAAAAGTCTCATTCTGGTGAGCAGCTGCCTGCTGGTGAATGGAGGCCACAGATGTTGTATAAGCCTCCAGATGTTGCTCAGGTCCAACCTTCACCAGTGGCTACTCTAGCTAGGAATGAAGACACCTGCAATTCAAGATCTAGCCGACAATACAGATCTAGTCCAGTGGTTCCCAACTTTGGGTCCCCAGATGTTCTTGGACATCAGCTCCCAGAAAACCTGGCCAGCACAGCTGACGATGAAGGCTTCTGGGAGTTTTAGTCCAAGAACATCTGGAGGCGCAAGGTTGAGAAGCGCTGATCTAGAGCAGTGGTTCTTAACCTTTGTTACTCGGATGTTTTTGAACTGCAACTCCCAGAAACCCCAGCCAACACAGTTGGTGGTGAAGGCTTCTGGGAGTTGCAGTCCAAAACTCCTGAGTAACCCAAGGTTAAGAAGCAGTGATCTAGAGGATCAAGAACGACCAGGCCTCCCCATAGGAGTCTGACCGGGCTTTAAAATCTTTGAGGAAGGCTTATCTCATCGTCCCAAGAGGTTGACAGACACATCGTATGGAGAAGTGAAACAGGGCCTTCTCTGTGGCTGCTCCTAAGCTGTAGAACTCCCTCCCAAGGTATGCTCCCTCTTGTCCATCTATCAGCCAGCAAAGATCATTCTTAGACTTTGGGCTGCTGACTGTTTGATGAGGATGAATGGGCGTTGAACAGAAAAGTGTGAGCTGCTGTATTTTTGCTTTTCTATTTCTTGGAATGTCCTTTCGAATCATTTTAAACCTAATTGTTTTAATATAGTAATCTGTTTGATTGTGTATCAATTTACTGGGCTTTAGTTGTGTCTATTTTTTAACAAGTTGTGAGCTGCCTTAGGCTTTAGTACTGGAAGCAGGAACAGGAACTATTTTTTCTGTCTGTAATAGCTATGATTAGAATTCATTGATTTTCAGTGGTTGTGCAATACTGAGGTGGAGTGGAGAGGGGAATGGTGTGAGAAAGGTGGATTGGTGGCATTTGTGCTGCTGCCACCTTACCTGCTGCAGAGTTTTGAATTTTTGGTTAAATTTCTCTAGCTGAGCAGCAGAAGTGCAATGATTTATACAGCAGAATAGCTTCAAGTCCCCCCCCCCCAGAGTAGCTATCCCCTTTCTCATTAACTGGCGTTTACAGTCTCAGTAACTCACTCTGAGACATGAGATGTAGAAAGAATAAAAGGTTTCATTACTTACAGTTGAACAGATAAAACAGCAAACTGACAAAAATGACTGCTTTCAGCAACAGACTTCAACAAACTAAAGAGGGGGGAAAGCCCTGAGCAGAGAAGCAGGGCGTTACTCGAATTCAGGGGCAAGGAACAAACGGGTTGGTTAGTGCTGGACAGATGGACAGTCACCCTAACCCAGAAAGCTCTCTCTCAACCACACCTAGTAGAGGCAGCAAGCGAGGTTGTAAAAACTCCCAATAGTTTCTGCAAGGTCTTGGGCAGTGGGTCAGGATCAAACAGGAAACCCAAGCCAGTGAAAGAAAGGGCTGAGAGTGAGCCACTGAAAAAAGCCAGCCCTAGAGGCTGATGAGAGGGAAGGAGGAAGTCAATTCATCCAGAGAGAGACGGCAAGAGAGGAACAGAGGAAAATCTGTTGCATGATGGCCAAATGACAAGTCCGTCTGGTTCTCTCAACGACCTCCGTTTGGAAACCCACCGGGTCCTTTTGCTGCCTTTTCCCACCGTGCAAAGATAACGCTAACACATTCATGACCAGAAATAACAACTTAGGCTGCTGGGCTGCAGTCATGCCAACACACTGATGTCTCCATGAACTAAAACAAGTCCTTTTTTTAAAAAAAATTAACCTTCTAAGTCCCCTTTCGGCGAAAGGCTGGATATTAAATAAATAAGCAAACACACCGATTTCCCGTAACACAGCTTCCTACCCTCATTCAAGCAGATCAGCCTGCCCCAGTGCGACAGTGTCTGAAAATTTTGGACTATCGGTTGTCATCACAAACATCTGGAGGACACTGTGTTGGGAGAAGAGTGAGCTGGTTTGAGTAGTGGTCTACTCGTGGGGCCTTCCCCCTGTCTTGTCTTCTCTCGCCACTGCAGGTAGGAGCTCAGAGATGGAAAACATCTCTTCTTAAGAGACAACTCGTCACCTACCCGAGCGAGTACTGTTATAGGAAGGGAAATCCAACCACCCCACATTCCAAAAATAATAGGTGAAGCCCATGTCCACCCCCCTAGAAGACAACTCAAAGGTTGTTAGCTTGTGAGAGGAACTCTCTGCTCGTGGACAGCTGAGCTTGAGTCACCCTTATAAACAAAGGGCTGCTGTGCCAGGAAAATGCACACACACACAAAAAAAACAAAAGCCATTCTGGCAGAACACAAGGCGGATCATAGGCCGTTTACAGTAATTTACACTCCAAGCAAGGTCCCAGCAGACCCACCCCCTTGCACTGGTTGGAAAACTCAAGAAGCAAAAAAAGAGAGAGAGAGAGAGAGATTTTTAAAAGGGAGGGAAGGGTCACATACAGTTCATTCAGATAAAGGAGAAAAGAATTAGAGACAGATGGACAGACAGGCAGAAAATGTTTCAGGGCTTTCAGGTGTAGGCATGCTTTCCTCGCGAGTAACAGCGAAAATCAGGCCTAGGCAAAATGTCAGCTTTTTTTTGTCCTTGTCCTGTTGTCGCTGCAGGCCCAGATCCTTGATGAATCAAGTCATCAATTCATTCCATTATCGCCGTCCTCTATTAGATTATTCGCTCTTGGCTGGTTGGGTCAAATACGGTTATATAATGCAGAAACAAGCCTTTTCTGTTGTCTGCATGAGGATGAAAGCAGGCCAGCTGAGATGCAAAGGAGAACAGGAATTCATAAAGACAAGCTTAGAAGTTCTAAATGATTAGCACATTATGAGGACTAGAAGCCTATTCTGTCACAACCACAAACAGATATCTGTGGGATTCTGCAAGTTCCCGAACCATGCATTGTTGATGCTGCAGAGGTGATCTGGACATTTCTGGAGATTCTGGCAAATGCTCGGCATCTCCTGATGTTGTCTGGGGGGAAAAACCTCCCACACCCTCATGTCCAGCTTTTAACCCAGAACAGCTTCCTGCCCATACTACCAGTTGACAAGAAAAAACAACTGGAAGACAGTTGGAGAGGAGGGGGCTGGAAGCCACAGGAGACTCGCTGCATTTTGTGGCAAGTGTCACAACAAACCAGGAGGAGGGAGGGAACATTTTCCGGAGACCTCCTTCCACAGCTGCAATTTCAAAACACACACAAAGAAGGGGAAGGACGGGCACACACACACACAGTAGCATATGTTGGAAGCCTGTCAGGACATCCACAAAATTAAGTTTCCTGTCAACAGTCAAAGCCAAAATGAAAGCAGGGTGGGACAAGCAGGCTTCAGAAAGCAAATTTTTCATCAGCACGAGCGTAGCAACAGAGCTTGGAAAAATTAGCTTTTTTCAGACAACAGCTCCCAGCGTTCCCTGTGGTCCAAAAAAGTAACTTTTCTCAGTTCTGTGTTTCATTCAGGATTACACTGCCTTCCCCCCCCCATCCCTTTTGCACTTAACCAGGCAGGAGGAGAAAATGCAGAAATTAGGAAAAGACCCAAGCTTAGGAAAACTGGGAAATTCTGCACAAAGTAAACATGGGGTGGCTCTGAATTATGTGGGGGGAAAGGGTGGGAAATAAGCAGGTTGTCCTGAAACTGCCTGCAAATCTTCCCACCACACACACTGACATGCTTTGGTGCTAGGGAGGCTCAGCATGTCAACGGCATGGATCCTAGCCTGGCATGGATTGGTGTCTCGGGACTACAATGCCCAAGATTCTTCAGTGAGTGTAGCTAGTGGCTGTGCTGCCATGGGAATTCTGGGAGTCGTGGTCCAAAGGCATGCAACTGCAGCCAACAAGTCCCAAGCCTTTCTAGGGAGAGCTGGGAATAACTCTAGACTTCAGCCCCTGGGAGCCCCAATTAATAATAATAATAATACTAGTGTGTGCGTCAAGTCAATTCTGACTTCTGGCAACCCTTTCCAAGGTTTTCCATGTAGGGAATACTCAGGTTTTCTTGTTCCTTTCCTCTAGGGGAAGCCCTAGGACCGTGCAGGTTGCCCAAGGCTACCTAGGCTGGCTCTTCTCCCAGGAGGCACAGTGGGGAATCGAACTCCCAACCTCTTGGCTCCAACTGCCCAATGGCAAGGGATTCTTGAAATCGTTTCACTAAGCTCCAATTGCCCAATGGCAAGGGATTCTTGAAATCGTAGTCCAACAGTAGCTTCAGCCCAAGAATGGGAAAGGACAGGATGAGAGCCACACATGCATCTCCCAATCTGATCTGGGGATCAGCTTGGAAAGTATCCCATTTGCATCTTATCCAGTTTGATTTGGGTTCTGCATCCGAGTTGTTGTTTTTTTTAAGCCTCTCACTGACTAGCGTTGGAAAACGAAAGGGGCTGTCATGTTTTTATTTTTGCATTGATGTACATAAAATATGGAGACATGACAAACCTTGAAAAGGGAAGTAAATCTACCAAACCTCAAACAACAAGCTCCAGAGGTTTCCATGGTAGGTACTTTTAAAATATATCAGTTCTTTTTTTTCTTCCATAAAAAAAGACCCACCCCACCCCCCAAAAAAGAACGCTGTGTCCCATCTAATTCAATTTGTGCTCTGGAAATGTGCCGATCTGTAGTTTTGCTTTGCTTTGTTCCAGAATCTGATATGGCCCTTCTGCTCCACTTTGGACCATGTACCAATCTGTCTGAATCAGTTCGAATTCGTTATTTATCCGAATCAGTCTTAATCTGAAATAAAGCTATGACAATCACACACCTCACACACTTTTTGAGGCAGTTTTTGGAAGGACAAGTCAAAGGTTTAGACTATTTTGAAAAAAATGGGGTGATCATACCTTAAAAAGAAACCTAGGCTAGACCACCTCACATTTAAGCATTATATTGGATTTTCATAGGAGGAAAAAAAAAACAGACATGATTTCGGTGTAAAACCCACCTTGCAACCTGGCGCCCGAATTAAAATGAAGCGGTTCCTCCTTTTCAGCAGCGCACGTAGGTCTTGGCACCTGTCATACCTTTCCAGCTCCACCGTCTCAACACACTTCTGTTCCTCCTGAAAGGCGAGAGAAGAACCACACAATTGATTTTTCGAATATAGGACAAGAGAGGCTATTGAATATGGATGAGAGAAACCAAGAAGTCCAACTCTCTAGCAGCAAGAGGAGAAACATTGGGTTGGTTGGCCTAATTTGCCGTTCCTGAACTAATAAACAATGCACTCATCCTTCTGTTTTCAGATACAAGTTGCCCAACCAAAAATTACACACAAGAATACTTATATCGGGGAAAGACTCCATACAAAAATCCATACATTAGGGCCCTTGGCCCTCCAGATTTGTTGGATTACAGGTCCCATCAGCCCTACCAGCATGGGCAAAGAATGATGGGTGTCGTTGCCCCAAACAGCGAGCAATTTCTTGGGAGTAGCCATATCCAGGCACCACCAACATACATGCCATTCCAGATTCCCTTGAGCTCAATGTGCCTCTGTTTTCTATCGCTGACCGGCTAAAGCAGAAAATAGTCTTACAGTTACAGCCCTAATCCTCCAATAATCTGGACGCGCACACCAGAAGCCACACACCGAAAACACAATACAAAGGAAATCCTGCACAAATATGGATTATTTTTTGGCCAGGTCTGTCTCCACTTATGAAAACCTCAACAGCAAAACTGCAGACAGCTGTTTTGACAGCTGCCACGGTGGGAACGGAGTGGAAGAATAACTGTGATAGTGGGCGAAAAGCGTGCCATACACCTTGCTTTTCCTATTTCAATTTATTTTATTTGCACCGCAAGCAGATACGCAACTCAAATTCCAGCACGTTTCACTGGGGAATTTCAACAGCATTGGAACATGTAAGGGTGAGACAGATTGCTTCTCCTTTGAGACCTATATGGTCAGCTCTGACTGGCAGCAGCTATCGAGGGTTGCAGTGTGGGTTTTTTCATACCCCTGCCTGGAGATACCAGGTACTGAACTGGAAAGTATCTGCATGCTAACTCTATGCTTTGCCACTGAGCTACAGCAACGACCTCATGCCCGAAAAAGCATAAAACCAAGCTAAGGAATGGGACAAAAATACCAAGTCGAGAGAGAAGACCTAGGAGAACGCCAAGGGTAAACTCTCGTCAGGGTACGGCGCTAAATGAAAATGCCCTCGTCGACTGATCAGCTAACCGAAGCACATGGGCACGGAGTTCAAAACTGCAAATAGGTTTGTAACTTGGAAATCCAAATCTCTGTTATTATGCTACAGAAGGTAATGGCCAAAATCCTGTTGCTTAGCATAGTAAATTGCATTAGAGTAGGCCCCCTGAATCAATGGCGAGTTAGCGAGTCAATTCCTCCAGATGCTCTATTGATTCAAATGGGCCTACTTTAACTGCAACATATCACGCTAAAATAAATAACAACAAGAGTAAGGCCAATTGAATCAATGGAACTTATTGAGAAGTTGACTCACTAAATCCCAGCTGAATCAATGGGCCAACACTAGTGTGACTTACTCTGCAAAGCAAATGGATTTTGGCCATGAGCGGCACTGCAGACAAGCCAAAAGCTAGCAGTCCATCTTGGTTCTGCCCCTCCCTTTTTGCCAGCTTCTGCTTCAAGCAGTGGAAACAAACCACAGACAAGCCAACCCTATGGGCTGGAGACATAACAACAAGCCCTGGTTTAAATAAGCCAGAGTTCATAAGCCAACAAGAAATGACAGCTTGCAGTTCTAGCTTTCAGCTAACTGCATGGACATACTGGAATGAATCAAACTTCAACTGACCACACCATGCCTTGTCACAAGATGTAAATGTGGTCAGTGGCTCGCTTATAGCCTCCAGCAAGTTCGTGGCTGACATGCAATATATATATATATGGAGCTCACCGCTCATTCTCCTAATTATGCTTATAGCCTCTAGCAAGTTTGTGGCTAACATATGTATGGAGCTCACCGCTCATTCTCCTAATTAGTATGCTGTCCTTGGCCGCCCAGAAGGGCCAAAATAATAATAATAATAAATCTGTGGTTAAGGAACTGAAATCTCTAGGGTTATCTCTTCTTTCAGCCATACCAACCCACGGGTCCTCTGCTGACAATTTTAGATGTTGGTATTCTGAGCTGTGAAAAGGGTATCCTTCTACCAACTATTTACAACCTTACAGATAATTATCAGACTGTGAATAGTACTTAGGAATGAAGAGGAGAGGAACGTATATCAAACAAAAAGATGCATTCTGCATCTTGAAAAGTGAGTGCCAGAGGATGGCCTAGAAGCAGCTGTTAGTACCAGCTGACCGGTGTAGCAATATTTGCTTTGTGCTACTGGAGTGGAGAGGCTGAAGGGTACAGCTCATTCAAGCCAGGAAGATTACTTACTAAAATGCAAGCTTTATATGCCAACTCTTTTTTTTTCCTGAATTTGCAAAGTGCTTTCAGTTCAAGGAAGGTCCAGTGGCCCTTTTCAAATCCTTGAAAGGTAGTCCTACAGAGGAGGGGATGGATTTGTTCTCGATCCTCCCAGAGTACAAAATACAGGAAGCCAGATTTGGGTTGAAAATCAGGAAAAAAAAGACTTCTTAACTGTTAGAGCGGTACAACAATGGAACCCATAACCTCGGGAGCTGGTGAGCGCTCCAACGCTGGAGGCAATTAAGAGGAAACTGGACAACCCTCTATTAGATCTGGTTTGATTCAGATTCATCCATGGGGCAGTGGGCTGGACTCAATGGCATTAGAATAAGCCCCTTTGTTGTTGTTGTTTAGATGTTAAGTCCTGTCCGACTCTTCGTGACCCCATGGACCAGAGCATGCCAGGCCCTCCTGTCTTCCGCTGCCTCCCGGAGTTGGGTCAAATGCATGTTAGGTCGCTTCGATGGCATATAAGCCCCTTACAACTCTATTATTCTATGATTCTATGTGTTCAGTTTTCCTACACTAATGATGCTGGGAGCTATAAATCTGTTTTGATTTGGATTCCTGAACTGAGTCGGGAGTTGGACTCAATGACCCAGGTGGCCCCTTCCAACTCCATTATTCTATGATCCTATGATCCTATAAGGTTTCGTCAGCCAGCAACGTCTGGAAAGATGCTTGCATTCAGGCGGGTGGCGAAACAGACAAGGGAGTGTTCTTCACCACCATGAATGGATAAAGAGGAAGGAGAAAAAAAAGATTTGAAGGACACCATACAGCTGTGCATTTGGCCTGCCTGACCGTTGCAGGCAGGAAGCGAAACTTGGGCAACCCCAACAGGGCCTTGTTTGTTACTGGTGTGTTTTTCTATTTCTTACGCTGCCTCCTTCCTCTGTCCCTTCCAAGAAATTAGGAATGCCACTGCTCTCCTAACTGCCTCGCTCTGTTCCTTGGTCTGCCGCAATGAGATGTACATGTGGCTGCCTGCCTTTAGAGGCTATTCAGAAGCTTCGAAATACAGCTGCTAGATTCATACTTGGGACGGGCTGAAGCAAACCCATCTGGTCCAGTCTTTGAGCAGCCTACCTGGTGGCCAGTCCATTTCCGAACAGCATTCGGAGTGCCGGAATGTGACTTTTTAAGCCAAGGATGGGCAGACTTGACATCCGTCAAATGCACTTTGCTTTAGTTTTCATCAGAGAAGCACATCAGCAACAGCCAGACACAAAGGATGCAGAACATGAATTAAAAGCAGCACCCCACCGAGCACATCCTGAATCTAAGTCTTCCACTGACACAAAGGCCGTTCCTGTTGATTCCACATTTTCCTTATTTCAACTGCTGTACTGAAATAGAAGTTCTTGTTTTGTTCGTAAACAGCCAGCCATCAGAAAGAAGCCATCACTGATCTCTATGTGATTAGCAGTAACTCATCACGTAGAGATCTATGTTAGCAGACTCTTGCCTCGCTCTACTAATTTAAGGCACTGCACAGCCTGGGCCCAAGAAAATTAAGGCAACACCTCCTCCTTCATCATCCATTCAAGATCATCTTTATCTAAGTTATCCTGTATCCCTTCCCTTCACAGCTTGCAAATTTAAAAAGGCTTTCTAAGTCACCGCACTCCATTTGGGCGTATTCCCAGCCATGATGCACTAGTGGTCAACTCTGAAATCCAGGCGATCCTTGTAACAATCTCTGAAGCCATGCCTCCCCAAACAGTACTCAAAAACAGAGGGAGCTGTCCTGATCCACAGCCACATAGGAGTACTAGTGTTTTTCCACCTCCACACAGAAGGGGGTTGTTTTGTAAAGCTAACGGATCTTAATTGCGAATTCAGCACCAAGCCACCCACAAATATTTTACATGATTAGACAGATAGCTCAAAATGCATTGGCCAGAATCTCATCATATATTTAGGCTGGCGTAACTGCACTGAGGTAAATTTCACTGACAAATGGATGCAAGTTAAGACGAGTCTTGTTCTCTTTTGCTCACTCACTGTGATGACACAGTCTGGACAGTTTGATACAGGAGCTCGTGAACATTTCACACTGCAATATGCTTGCTTTTATTTCATGTGGTTCCACTTATTTCTGATGCCTTTCACGGCTCCTAGTGTTAACTCTTCTCAAAGCCGTTCAGGATCCACCGAAACAAACTACAACACCGCGCTGCAAGCCACAGCATCGCAAACAAAACCAGAATGAAAAACACATTTTCGCACCTCGAAAACCACCGCTGCAGCCTGTAAGGGGCCATTAAGCCTGTGCTATTTGGGCTGCGACCAAATAAGAGAATTCACAACCTTCTGGAATGCATTTCAGCAGGGCTTATTCCGTTATGGAATCTCTATCCCCAGCTTCTCCTTCGCTGGAAAAGCCCAAAGCTGCTTATGTGCCTGGCGGAAAGACTGCTCAAAATTTCACAATAGAAAGAGCATGCACCGAAGGTGGCTCCCTGCCAGACTCGATTTGCAAACTGGCCCTCTACGAGCAAAGGAAATAAGCAGTGTCGCCCAGAAACACCATTTCCTTGCTTGTCGCGAGAACACACATTAAGAAAAGACAGCTTTGGGTCTGAATTAAACAGTGGCAGCCTTAAAACCGAAGACCAGTTCAGCCCACATTTCAACGTGGGATTCATCTGACAAACAAAGCCAAAGGCTTGATGTTAAGAAAGGGACGTTGGCCAAAATCCTACTAGTCGTACCTGAAAGTGTAATGCAAACAGTGTAACTTTGGCGGCAGTTCTTGGAAGAAGTCAGCATGGATGTTACCATTGGCACGCGGACGCAGTGTTATTTCACGCAAATGCAAGAAATAATCTTTATGCTAGAGTCCCACCCACGAGCATGGCAACGAGGACCATCTCCGGGTGCAAGAGCATGATGTATACTGTAGACCTGCACCATCCTTCTCTACTGGGCTCACCTCATTTTCATACATCAAGAGCTGGGATTTGCATAGCTGGATGTAACGTTCCTTCCAGAGACTCAGAAGACCCCCGCTGCTCTTCTTGATCCATCCTGCTTTGTCCACCACGATGGGACACTTTGGCTTCTCCGGGGTTTCCTCCTTGACACCCTAAAGTCAAAGCAAGAAAGAAGGAGAAAAAACGTCATTAGAATCTCAGATACCATGGCATAACCCATCAACACCCTATTCAGCCATTACACCTTAATCGGATTCAAAGTCCTTCTGGGCACACTGGATAAAATATAAACCCCATCCCCACATCCCTTCCTCATACTACTTTTTGGGGAAGGTGCCTGAAACCACTCAGCCCTTGTACGGACTCCTCCCTAACATCCTTTCAGCCCTCTTCATGGTTTCCACCTGGATAATGCTTGAATAGGGCTTATGAAAATATACGTGCCGTGCTTCTTTGTCTGTCTTAAGCCAGATTTCCAGCAGCATCCCGTTCCATGACTCCCTCAGGATTCAAAAGCCCTAGCAAGGGTTGCCGTAAGTCAGAGTCGACTTACTGGAACATACTTTTTATTATTCCCGGCCATCTGTTCTAACCAGTTACTTTATTCCCCATCTTCTAGCAGTCCCCCACGTACGGATGCATTGCTGTGTTTCTCTTTCTCTTGGATCATTTCTGCTCTCTGCAATTTTCTTCCAAAATCGTGCAAACCGCGCTCCGCATTGTTCTCATGTTTGAGACCGGCTCATGAAAAGAAGCTCGTGCCTGCTCTCCCAAGAATGTGCGCCGTAAAGTTTATAGGAACTCTGCCACCAATCAGATACTGCGAGAGTGTCAACAAAATTGAGAGAGAGAGAGACTCACAGCCTGGAAAACAGAAGCACCTTGTCTTTCGAAAGGCCAGAGGAAGCTGTCTGTGGTATAGGGTGTCTTTCTGTGAAAGAATACTGGTGGATGACTGGGGTAGCTGTGCTGGTTACAGGGCGTCTGTTAAATGCAGCTGAGCTGGAGACGCAACATAGGACTCCATCTTGAGAGGCAAAGCTTTTGTGAAAACGACAACCCAAGCACAACAGCAGTTGGCCGAGGAATCCTGAAGTTTCTTCCAAAGGGGTCTTTTTGTTTGTTGTTTAGTCATTTAGTCATGTCCGACTCTTTGTGACCCCATGGACCAGAGTACGCCAGGCCTTCCTGCCTCCCGGAGTTCGGTCAAATTCATGTTGGTCGCTTAGATGACCCTGTCCAACCATCTCGTCCTCTGTCGTCCCCTTCTCCTCCTGCCTTCACACTTTCCCAACATCAGCATCTTTTCCAGGGAGTCTTCTCTTCTCTAAGGGGTCTTAGAAGGCTGCATTATATGGTTGTGTTTTTTTTGTGGGGGGGGTAACAAGGCTGCATTATATGGTTGTGTTTTTTGGGGGGGGTAACAAATCTGATGGTTGCCGACATTTAACAAGTTCATGCTACCGATGTGTCAACCGGCCATGTAGTTGACCGAAAGTGGTAGAAACCATGACTCTTGTGGAATGAGGTACCTCCTGCTGGATAAGTTTGTGGGTGCGAGTGTTTACTCTGAAACTAGTTGTTCAATCAAGTTTGGACCTACAACAGGAAGTACTGCTGTATTGATTAGGTTAGAGCAGAAGGCCAGGTTGCTACAAATTGATTATAGGATCAATGGGCAATAACAATAATCTTAGAACAGCCAAAATGGAAGGAACCGTATGGATCATCCTTAGCCCCTGCTAAGGATGATCCCCCACTTAGCCCAGTGGGGAATCAAACTGCCAACCTCTGCCTAAATCACTGAGCTATCCAGCCAGATCTTAACTACATGCGGGTGTATCATGCAGTGGTGTCGAACTGTGGCCCTCCAGATGTTCTATATCATTAGAGTATCTGTTTGTGCATGGAAGCCCACAAACTAGAAGAGGATCTGTATGTGGAAATCTGCTTCTACATAAATGGTTCTCTGTTTGTGCATGGAAGCTCACAAACTAGAAGAGGATCTGTACGTGGAAATCTGCTTCTACATAAATGGTTCTCCAGCTAATTTCTGCAAACAAACTGTACAGGCATCTGGCTGCAGAACCAGAGGTTCTGCAGACCTGGCCCTCTGCAGAACCAGAGGTTGGGAGTTCGATTCTCCACTGTGCCTCCTGGGAGGAGAGCCAGCCTGGGTGGCCTTGGGCAAGCTGCAATGTCCCAGGGCACCCCCAGAAGAAAGGAACACAAGACCACTTCTGAATACTATTTTCATAGAAAACACTGGGAAGAGTTGTCCCAAGTCGGAACTGATTTGATGGAACACAGTTGTTACAACACCATGACCCAGGCTGCTATCCTTTACAGGATTACCTGGGTAGACCTTCCAGCGGCTGCAAACTTCACTAGATTTGTAGAATTACATTGTCAGGACATTTTAGCCAGGAGAGAAAAATGATGCTTCACTTTACACATTCTACAGAGTACTGCACACAAAGCTTTAAAAACTGCATAAAACTCAATATTTGCGTTAACTGTTCTAGCACTAGCAATTAATGACAATGAGGATGATGTAGGTTTCCGTAGTCTTTCTTCCTAGGAACCTCTGTGGTGAAGTCATGACTTTTCAGATGCAGCTGAAAATATTCAGGATTTAGATTTCCCCCCCCCCTCGCCCCCCATTCAAACCCTTTCTGGAGAGGTTGCCAAGAGTCCTTAAATTAGTTTAGATTTATTTTTTTTTTAACTTGCCTTCTTAAGAGACCAGGAAGTCATGTCTTGCTAAGAGTTACCGCTTCCTGTAACCTTCAGATCTTGTACAAATATAGACATGTTTGAATTTCTGCCTGAGTCCCCTTTGATGCCTCTTTCAGAGATACATCAGAAGTGTTTATATTATTAGTAGCAGTAAGATTAACATTATCTCTCTTATTACTATTGCACATGCTGCTGGAATTGGGTTCTGCCCTCAAGAGAAGTTTCAATGAATATATCAAAAATAATGCTAATCTCTTTTGCACAAGACTCAAAATATCACAGATCAAGTCTCTGAAATTTACATGTCAGCCTGATACGCTTATCTTGATTAAACGCCACTGTAGGATAAATGAAAGTACTGTTGATAAAGCATGTGGATTTCTCTGCGTGTTTGATCACAATTTAAGAATTTTTAAAAGCAATCAATTAAGATTCCAAGGCCCCAATAAATTAAATAAACTTTCCCAAGAGGCAAAACCGACAGAGACTGGCTGCACCTTAAAGAGAAACCAACTTTATTTGGAACAGATTTTCATGGCCTGTAACCTGCTTCTTGGTATGCAACAAGTAATGATTTACTTTCTCGTCCTTCGAAGTACCGAGAATAGTTACTTCTCTGTTAATTGTTTTTGTTTTTAAAAAATCAGAATGGTAGGAGATACTGGTAAGGGTACATCCCATTTTTAAAAAAAAGCTGCAGAGCTTGGCAATAATGCATTAATTTCACACATTCTCAGTGAAAAATAGTTACTTTCTCAATAAATCAGGAAACAAACCTCTCAGCCAGTAGCATTCTTTTGTAATGGTTTTTTTAATATTAAATATTTTTAATGCTAAAATGTATTTGCAAGATTCTCCATCACAAAATCTCATCACTTTCAAAAATTTATTTTCTTAAGACTAGAGGCATTCTTCCTGTTTACCACACTAATGGTTTTACTATCAGTGGGTAAAATTTCATATAATACAGTATTACATCTCAGCTCTCTGTATTACTGAGTGGACAGAGAGTGCCCAGCTGTCCTTTGTGACATTCCAACACAATTTCTTCTTAATTATGGCAAAAAGGAATTTAACCTGAAGTAACTTGTTGTTTGCAACTAGTTACTTCCAAGTTTGAGCCTGATGATCACACCAGGAGCATTTTAAGTACTGTTATTTAGAGGGACTGACAGATGAATGAGAAATAAATTGTCTCCAGATGCCAAAATCCACAAGGCCAGTCCATCTCTTTGTGGCGGTCCACCACCAGAGTGGTCTAGCAGAATCAGAAGTGAAGCTAGAAGCAGGGTAACTCCTGTGAAATTGGGGTTCGACACCGATTCAGACTGTGTCCTTTGGCAAGTCACCAAGGCCCGTGGTCTGAACATGAGGTTAATTCTTCTCAACACCACCTTGGCTACAACAGTATATACATTGAGTTATACACCTCTCCCACTCTCCTTCGATCCTGTACCTGAAAGGGTTACGGTGCTGGGTTTAAACCTACAAAACAGAAGGTTGACATTTTGGACCGCAGTATTTCAGCCGAAAAGATTAGGTTTCTGGATGCTCTCTCACACACATACGGAAAGTCAAACTCCTACATCAGGAAGGGTTATGAAAACCATATTTCCTAACATAGTAGAATATTAAGTGCAGAAAGAGTTTCATAGAGGAAACACATACAGCAACTGAATTTACAATCTGAAAAACGTCCAGTCCAGACTTTAACCATTAATAATTGCATGTTGTCAAGTCAATTCTGTGTCCAGTCCAGACTTTAACAATAATTGTGTGTCATCAAGTCAATTCTGACTTACGGCAACCTTTTCCAGGGGTTCTTAGTTATAAAAAGTACTCAGATTCAGTTGGCCTTTCCCGTCTTCTGTGTGTGCTCGGGGACTGGTGGTGCAGCTTGCCCAAGACTACATAGGCTGGCTCTTCTCCCAGGAAACATGGGGAACTGACCTCCTGACCTCGTCAGCCAGGTATCTAACTCACCGAGCTATTCAATCAGCAACAGATTTATAAAATCATCATCACGTGCTGTCAAGTCAATTCCGACTTAGGGAAACCCTTTTTGGGGTTTTCCAGATAGAAAATACTCAGAAGTGGTTTACCATTCCCTTCCTCCAGGGGGCGCCCTGGGACTGTGCAGCTTGCCCAAGGCTACACAGGCTAACACTTCTCCCTAGAGGCACAGGGAGAACCAAACTCCTAACCTCTGGCTCCACGTGTTCATTAGCCCACAAGAAACTCTACTGAACAATTCTATACATGCACCTACTTCTACCAAAAACTTAACCCCATTCTTGATCTGCAAGCATGACCCAGAAGACCTGGGAGGAATGCCAGTTCCTCTTCATTGCATTTAAAATTCAGGTTCTTTCTGTCCTGAATACAATAAAATTTGCCAATCGGATAGATTGCTCAAAAATGATATCAGCAAATGCAACCATTACAAAACCTATCAACTGAAAACGTCCTTTCCCCGGCTCTGTTTGAGGCGCACCTCAATTCTAAATCGATAGTGGAAGATCTTCTCTGGGCTCTGAATGGGGACGAGAGACTATGAATCCAGGAGTTTGAAACTGGCGTACATTCGTGACGCCGTCCTGTCTTTATAAAGCACCGAAAGGCATTTCCTCTCGCACGCCCCACTTCCTATTTATCCGAGGAGATGCAAGAGCCGAAGCTTCCATGAAATCGAGCCTTTAAAACCCAGCTGGTGGAACAGCCCATTAGCAGAGGGAATGCTGCTGATGGGCGCCAGTACACAAGGGCCCTTGACAGGACTGGTGCAAAGGGGGGCTGGTTTGCTGGCAGAAGGAAGCAGGAGGCCGGCTTGAAAAGGCAAATGTTTTCAGCACGCACAGAGAGAGAGAGAGAGAGAGAGAGAGAGAGGGTTTATTCATCAATATCAATTCGTCAAATTGATATTGACGAATAAACATGTAACTCTTCAGATGAAAGTGTGTGAATGTTTCCCTCTGGACCAGAGGTGGCTTGGACAGAGAGGAAGAAAACCGGAACTGGCAGGGATGGCAACTGAAGGTTCTGGCAGATTGCTTTACGGAAAGCCTGGACTTGCAGAAAGACAAACAAGTGGGTCCTAGATCAAATCAAGCCTGAACCTTCTCTGGCAGCAAACATGTCGAAACCGAGGCTGTCCTACTTTGGGCACATCCTGAGAAGGCAGGATTCTCTGGAAAAGACAATGACGGTGGGAAAGGTGGAAGGCAGCAGGAAAAGAGGAAGGCCCAATACGAGAGGGACTGACACATTAAAGGAAGCCACAGGCTTGTGTTTACAACACTTGCGCAGGGTTGTTGAGGACTGGGCATTTTGCAGATGGCTCATTCATAGGGTTGCCATAAATCAGAAGCGACTTGATGGCCCAGAACAGCAACACAACACAAACACAATCATTCCCGAGGGGGGTGGGATTACATTTTCCCTCTTTCTGGATGACCAATCACAACATCCACACATATGCAAACAAACCTCCTCCTTAAAGGACACTTGACATCGACGGCTTTGATAAGGAGCTGGGTTTACAGAAAATTCAAAGTTTTTTAAACTTGCTGACCGGTTAGGAAGGTGCTTCTGACAAACAACCAAACCAAGCCATCTTATAGAGAGTACCAGCCCTACCATTAGGCAGAGTGAGACAAAATGCAGAAGGGAGCAAAAAAACAGGGAGAGGCCTCATGCGCTGTAAGCAAGTTGTATGTGCGCTCTAAGGCCAGTCGCTTGCTTTCTGATGCTGCAAAAGTACAGTATAGGGAAAAAAAGATTCAGCTGTCAGTTCTGTCCCCTCATGCACATGGGATGAGAGGGAGACACCCTCTTGATTCTGGCCTCAGGCAGCCAACTGTCTTTGGCTGACCCCCTATCAAACCCCTTGATCCATCCAAAACATGAACTCCGGAGATGTTCAAGATCCAGGAAGGGCTTTGCCAAGAGGAGTTGTTTTCAACAGCACTCAGTGATTAGGAATGAAATCAACAACTCCCCATTTAGGGGATGCATCATCTCCAGGCTTCGAAGGAAGGGGGATCAGGAGACAGGGGTCTCATTGTCTCGTGGGCTCCCAGAGGCGTCTGGTGGGGTCACGGGGAGAGACAGGAAGCTGGACGAGATGGGGGCCCTTGGCCTGATCCAGCCGGGCTCTTCTGATGCAACTCACCCCATTTCATCCCTGCAGTCTCAAACCCTTGGTACTCCTGCCCAAGTAAAGCATATTTGTTGACATTCCTGGGCCCCACACTACCATAAAAGGCACAGGAGCAGGGCCACTAAAATCAAGTTGGCAACCTTCTCACTGCTTTGGAAGCAACGGAGGAGCAATTTCTCCAGATACCTTTGGAGCAGACTCTGCTTTTCCTCGCCTTATTTACCAGCCCCGGCATCCACCCCACGGCTTCCCTCTGCCCAGAAACCTCAGCTTCTCAGGCCAAGACCCACCGCATGCCAAAAGGAAAACAAGCATTTAAAGGCCTTCTGTCCAAGCCCCCTTTGAGAAGCGCCTCTGTTTAATTTCAGCTGCAAATCAGGCCAAGAAGGGGGGGTTGTCAGCTGAGTTTCCCCTTCACCATGAAACACACCCCATCGTCCTTCATTTTTTTAACCTACCCCTAAAGTTCAGAAACTTCTCTCCCATCCAAAACATGAACTCCGGAGATGTTCAAGATCCAGGAAGGGCTTTGCCAAGAGGAGTTGTTTTCAACAGCACTCAGTGATTAGGAATGAAATCAACAACTCCCCATTTAGGGGATGCATCATCTCCAGGCTTCGAAGGAAGGGGGATCAGGAGACAGGGGTCTCATTGTCTCGTGGGCTCCCAGAGGCGTCTGGTGGGGTCACGGGGAGAGACAGGAAGCTGGACGAGATGGGGGCCCTTGGCCTGATCCAGCCGGGCTCTTCTGATGCAACTCACCCCATTTCATCCCTGCAGTCTCAAACCCTTGGTACTCCTGCCCAAGTAAAGCATATTTGTTGACATTCCTGGGCCCCACACTACCATAAAAGGCACAGGAGCAGGGCCACTAAAATCAAGTTGGCAACCTTCTCACTGCTTTGGAAGCGACGGAGGAGCAATTTCTTAGATACCTTTGGAGCAGACTCTGCTTTTCCTCGCCTTATTTACCAGCCCCGGCATCCACCCCACGGCTTCCCTCTGCCCAGAAACCTCAGTTTCTCAGGCCAAGACCCACCGCATGCCAAAAGGAAAACAAGCATTTAAAGGCCTTCTGTCCAAGCCCCCTTTGAGAAGCGCCTCTGTTTAATTTCAGCTGCAAATCAGGCCAAGAAGGGGGGGTTGTCAGCTGAGTTTCCCCTTCACCATGAAACACACCCCATCGTCCTTCATTTTTTTAACCTACCCCTAAAGTTCAGAAACTTCTCTCCACCTTCCTGAAGAAAGTTTTAACACAAGCTGATTTGTTTTTTTTTTCTTTCTCTCTCTCCCCAAAACAAGTTCTGGGCAAGTTTCTGCAAGGAAAGGAAAACGCGCTGGTACAATTTGGGGTGGGGTGGGGGCTGCAGCAGAAGCAAGAGGACTAGAAGCTTAACTTTTCCAAACTCACAGTGCGTTCTGATCATCGCATGACCCCCTCCAGCCCTTTCCAAGTCGTCCCCATTTAATCTCACTCCATCCATAAATACAGTACATATTTTGAACTTTTCTTGCCTGTTGCCGCCCTCTGAATATTACTCACATCTTCCATGGTGGAGAAGGGGAGGAAGACGAGGTCGGAGAGCTTCTCCCTTTTCCGACAACTTCAGTACCAAATCCCAAAATCAAGAAGCCAGGAGCAAAAAGCTGTTCCACTCCGGCGCACAGAACCCGGGGTTTGTCTCCTGCCTGGGAGAGAGAACGTGTGAACGCGGCGCGCCCTCCTGGTGTATGGGGTTTTTAAAAGCCTCCAGGCTGCTCCATCCTTGTCTCACGGGGTTGGCTCGCCCGAGCCAGCGGAGCAAACATGCCGGGCTCTCGGATGCAGGAGGAAAAGGCTAAAGGGATGGAGTTCCCCAACTTTGCAAGGCGGAAAAAAAATAATAATAAAGTCCAGGATCCAGACGTGCCAAAAAAAAAACAAAAAAAAACAACCCACTTTGGCTTGCAAAAGACTCTCTCTCTCTCTCCGCCGATCTGTTTCGCTTGGAAAGAAGTTGGCCGCAAAGAAGGCGCAACAGCAGCGGCAGCATAAAAAAAAATATATACTGAATTTCCGGTAGTGGCTTGAGCTCTTTGGAAGGAGGGAGAGAAAGAGGAGGAGGAGGAGGCGGAGGCGGAGGCGGGCGAGGCAGCCTCTCTTCGGCTTCGCTCACCCCACTCCTCATTCACCCGATCTGTTTCGCTTGGAAAGAAGTTGGCCGCAAAGAAGGCGCAACAGCAGCGGCAGCATAAAAAAAAATATATACTGAATTTCCGGTAGTGGCTTGAGCTCTTTGGAAGGAGGGAGAGAAAGAGGAGGAGGAGGAGGCGGAGGCGGAGGCGGGCGAGGCAGCCTCTCTTCGGCTTCGCTCACCCCACTCCTCATTCACCCAGGCCAGGGGGTGGGATCCAGACCTCGCTCGGCAAGGCGGGCCGTGTAAACTTTCCGAAAATTCAATTTTTTTTCCTCCCCGGGAAAAAAAAATCCGTGGAAAAAGTTTTGTTTTGTTTTTGTTTTGTTTTTGGTGGGTTTAATGTCTGGGAACAAATTGTATAGCCAGCCTGGATTGACTGAGAAACGGAAACACACACATACATACAGACATACACACAGTACAGTAAATACATACATATACATATACATATACATATACATATACATATACATATACATATACATATATATAATGTGTGCATAAAGTTTAGTTATATAAAGTTTATTTATTTATAATAGTTTTATAGTTTTATAATAGTTTTAATAGTTTTATTTTGTATTTATTTATTTATATTTATTTATTTATTAGATTATTTATTACATTTATTTATTTATTACATTTATAGCCCGCCCATTTGGTCATATATAGACTACACTGGGCGGGTAAAAACATATCATATAACAAATTACAGTTTATTGTTTATCATTTATTTATAAATAACAATAAAAAATAAATACAATGTGTGTATAAAGTTTATTTATATAAAGTTTATTTATTTATACTAGTTTTATTTTTTATTTAGAATAGTTTTTATTTATTTATTTATTTATGAATGAATGAATGAATGAATAAATAAATAAATGAAAGGAGTTATTTATTTATTTAAAATATTTTTACCCCGCCTTTGTCCTAAAATGAAAATGACTCGAGGCGGCTTACAAACCATGAAAGACATTTAATGTTGAAAACAGGGAGTACCCAAACGGGCGGATGACATCATGAAAAGACAACATTCAAACATGATGAACAAGGAATGAGGAGGCATCTTACATGAATTGACAGGCAATATGGTGGCGCTGCGGGCTAAACTGCAGAAGCCTGTGCTGCAGGGAAAATGAAAATGACTCGAGGCGGCTTACAAACCATGAAAGACATTTAATGTTGAAAACAGGGAGTACCCAAACGGGCGGATGACATCATGAAAAGACAACATTCAAACATGATGAACAAGGAATGAGGAGGCATCTTACATGAATTGACAGGCAATATGGTGGCGCTGCGGGCTAAACTGCAGAAGCCTGTGCTGCAGGGTCAGAAGACCAAGCAGTCATAAGATCGAATCCACGCGACGGAGTGAGCTCCCGTCACTTTGTCCCAGCTCCTGCCAACCTAGCGGTTTGAAAGCATGCAAATGCAAGTAGATAAATAGGGGCCACCTCGGTGGGAAGGTAACAGCGTTCCGTGTCTAAGTCGCACTGGCCATGTGACCACGGAAGATTGTCTTCGGACAAAAACGCTGGCTCTATGGCTTGGAAACGGGGATGAGCACCGCCCCCTAGAGTCGAACACGACTGGACAAAAATTGTCAAGGGGAACCTTTACATTTACATTTACATGAAGGCCAAGCTCAAGAAGTACACAAATATTTTTTTTTTTTTAAAAAAGCGCTATGAGAGACAGAGCACAAAAAATGGAAAACACGAGTTGTACTAACAATCAAGTCAAAGCAGCCAAGCCTAAAAACCACACACAGGTAGCTGGTTACGGAGGGGAAGTTTTTACTCGGCTTTTCTCCTGAAAAAGGACTCAAGGCCACTGATGTCCTTGAAGAACATAGTAAGGATGGGTTAAAAGAATGGCATAAAATCCCTCCCTCTGTGATGGGCTGGCTGAGAGAGATTTTGAAATGGATTTTTGTGCTTGGCATCTTTAACGATGCTTCTATTTGCCATTTCTTAGCATGATCCTTTTGTTAGTATTTGTAGACTGACCGTTTTTAGCTTTCAATATTGGCTTCCCATGATGTAAAGCCACCTCGGGGTCTCTTGAAGGAGAGAGGCCAGGTAAAAATATTTAAAATAAATAAATGTAAAAGGTCATGAGAAATGGAAATTCTTTACGAATTCCTTCTGAAAGTTCCTTATCATGCCCGGGGTGGGGGGGCGACTGATGAAAATAAGTTTAAAAAAAAGTTAGCCCAGGAGGCTAGTGTGAACATCCTCATCTTTTCCTGCCTGGTCATGGAAATATTGTGGATTAACGTCGTCCACTTATATTACAGATTTTACACTATCTCACCATGACTTCATTTTAACTTCTTAACATAGCTTTTGCAATGAAACCACATTATGCCCTGATTTTCCCCCCAGAGTTACAGGTAGTTGCCCAACTGCAGCTTCAGAGTGATGGTAACACCCCCCAGAGTAACTAGTTACAGGTAGTTGCCCAACTGTAACTCATCGCTCCCAACTGCAGCTTCAGAGTGATGGTAACAAGACGTTGATCCTCAGACATGGGTGCAGAACTGGTGTTCATGCACCTGCATCCATCTGTGCAAGAGGCCAAAATCATAGGCACTCTGTGCACCACTTTAACTTCGAGTGGAGACCATAGGGAGCAAACCAGATAGCTCACTGGCGCAGGTCTCTGGCTGCGGAACGGGAGGTTGGGAGTTCGATTCCCCACTTACCTTGGGCAAGCTGCACATAGGGAGCAGACCAGATAGCTCACGGGCGCAGGTCTCCGGCAGGTTGGGAGTTCAATTCCCCACTTACCTTGGGCAAGCTGCACAGGCTGGCTTTACGTAGAAAACCCCGGAAAGGGTCATCATCAATCAGAATTGACTTGACCAGATAGCTCACGGGCGCAGGTCTCCGGCAGGTTGGGAGTTCAATTCCCCACTTACCTTGGGCAAGCTGCACAGGCTGGCTTTACGTAGAAAACCCCGGAAAGGGTCATCATCAATCAGAATTGACTTGCTAGAAAACCCTAAAAAACGTCATCAATCAGAATTGACTTGATGGATCAGGAGGATTATTCTTATGATATGTTTATTGCATCACACAGATTTACAGAAAGAAAAGCTTGGTTGGGCAGGGAAAGCCAAGACTACAGAGAACATAGGAACTTTTTTTAAAAAAATGGTAGGGCCATCTACAACAGCCAAATGACTGAGCATCTTAGATATGAGTGGCTCGACATTTTCTCCTTGATATTTTTGCCACGCTTTTAAAATCTACCTGATCAGACAAAATGGTGGGAAATGGAAAGGAAGGAAGCATAGAAATGGCAAGCAACAGTGTCTTCCTTCTGCTACTTCCAGATCTCTCTGGATCTCTGGACAGGTTAATTTTTCTGATCACAATTCCATGCTCTCCGGGAGACCCTGAAAACTGTAGCTTCACAACAAACGTCTCCATGCTGCTCTAAATGAACTTCTGCTCTTTCGCACTCCCTTCCTTTCTCTCCCTATTTTTCCCCCTTGTTTCTGTCCAGCTGTAATGAGATAGAGCCGAAATCTGGGATGTGTTCTGCACACTGAAACAGGACAGCTGGAGGAAATCAGGGGCAAGCGACAGACAAACACAGGGTGTTGGCCAATATGATTGTCTTTCCTGGAAAATATTAACCAGTTTTTTTTTTTTAAAAAAGTCTGGGAACATATTCCAACAGGGCAGATGTGTGACCAGTAGACGGAGATATGTGTTTCCCCTTAGGTGGACCACTTTTCTCTGTTCTTTTGGGATTTAAGCTGTCCTGTAGATCAGAGCCCACCCAAAGCCATTGGTCCCAGGGAAATCAGGAAGTTCAAGAGATCAAGGTGCCCATCAGAAGAATTGTGGAGTTAGGATGATTATCTCCTAGCAGGGAAGGAGAGGGAGGGTTGTGGGTTTTGCTTTCTCATGATCCAAAATAACCCAGCTGGCTATTGAATTTCAGTACCGGAGAAGTAAAACCTGAAATCGGATTCTAACACTTTCATTCTGTGGAAAATTCACTGTGCAAAAAACAAAAACAAAAAAACACCCCCCAAAAAACCCCACCCCGAAACAGAAAAACCTTGTGATTGCTGGTGAAACGCTCTCTTGCACGTAGTGCCAAGGTGAGCCCAGATCAGCTTCCGTGGAATGATGGAAGTCTCCAGAGAGTAGGATCCCAAAGAAACTTTTCTTTTTCTCTCTCTCCCCCCGCCGCGTGCGCCAATTTATAGTTTCACTTCTTTTTTTATGGAAACACTGCCGACGTGAGTCTCCATTTTGAGGAAGTCAGCTTACACTCATCTCCACATGACATCCGTTGTCACTCGAGTGTGGCGGAACATAGCGATGATGCGGATGCTTCATCAGCTGTAGTATTTAGGGGCCCGTGGGTGATGTGAGAAGAGTCCTGGTGTTTACTGTGCACATTTAAAAAGAGCAAAAGTCATAGCTGTTTCAAAAACGATGGGCCTTGTTCTGTGGATGGAATCCAGAAGTGGCTTTCCTTTGGTTTTCCTTCTGCATACATGCCTGGATTGCTCAGGGTAGCTCTCACCCAAGAGGAGGCTGCGCCTGAGTTGCTCTTATGGCTGAGCTGCCCCTGGCAACTGAACTATATTGCTGAAAGGAAGAAAGTGTGAAGAGTAACCAGCCTAGATAATATGCACGGAAGGACTGCCAGCTTTGTTCAGTTCTGGTACTCAAAGTCCTGTGCAGAATAGCATCCTTCCCACACAAACT